ATCTGCCAAATGCACAAATGTAATGACACCTTGCTGAAGAAAAAAAAAGGCCCATGAAATGAATGATCCATGAATAAAACTACGTTGAGCACTGTAGACCTTCAAGAACCATCAATGGAATGAATGACGTATCATTAGATCCATTCAATTCCCAACCCTTTAAATTTCAAATATCTACCTTCAACTTTGACTCCGTACACATTGGCCTCCTCGATGCAGTCCACCATCGTGAGAATATCTGCTACCTCAGTTGTAGCCACATTCTCTCCTTTCCACCTGCAAAAAAAACTAATGTTAATTCGATGCTTGAAAAACTAAATGTGCAAGTAATGCTTCAGCTCCGCCACCTGAATGTGTCTCCAACTCGATCATGAAAGTAGACAAATTTGTCTTTGTCGATCCTCAGCAGATCTCCACTGTTGAAATACAGGTCTCCTTTCACAAACACGTCGCTGAGTCTCTTCTTCTCGTTCTGCTGCTTGTTCCCAGCATAGCCGACAAAAGGGGTGAGTTTCGTGATTTTCCCGACCAGAAGGCCCACCTCATCTACAAAACATTTAATATCAACAACTGCAGGGCTAAAGCTGCACATGTAAGATGTTCAGGGTGAAACATTAACTTTTTATGACAATGTTCTGCTCAAAAGGTCAATGGGAGTGGAGTCATAAAAGCTCAAATCCTAGCCTAAACAAACACCTCATACTATCTTTACAGACGTCCCATAACAATAAAATGAATTCTACCATAAAATCCACAAAGCTAGCACCTGATTTACCTTTTCCAACTGGGATACACAGACCGTCGGCGTTCCTCACGGGCTCTTCTTTCTCAATGTCAAACTTAATGATGGAATAGGGGAAAAACACCTGTGGAGTACAACAGCAATCAAGCTAACTTTGCACACAGATGCTTTTCTCAATGCTAAGAAATGCGTATCGTCACTAACCTTGCTGAGAATATTGATACGACCGACCACTCCAACTTTATCAGTGTAATTGATGAAGGCGACATTTCCCTCGGTGGCGGCATAGAGCTCTCGGACATGAATGCGTCCGAAACGGTTCAAGAATTCTTTCCAGACATCTGCTCGTACACCATTTCCAATGGCAACTCTCACTTTGTGGTCTCGGTCATCGTCTTTCTGCAACATGAAGTGGAAAGAACATCCTAGTTTGTGTTTTTGTCGTTGCACTGTCCCAAAGAACTTCCAGACAAATTTGAGACACGGTAACCTAGTGAGCTTCCTCATAAGAGAACATGCTAAGGGTCATAAAACCCCACACAAATAGTGGTTCTCCACACTGGAAGTTCTCAAATAGTAGAACATGGTGCTACCAACACCAAGGTTATGGGTTCGATCCCCAG